AGCTTAAATGTTAGGTCTGAACTTTGAATTCAAGACAACTTGTTCTGAGCACTGATGCAGTTGTCTTGCATATTTGTATGACTGTCATCATGTGAAACTATTAAAAAAAACTAGAAGACTGGACCTTTACGTTAACTTAGGCTCTTCAGTTAAGAACGTCAGTAAGAGGCTAAAACAAAGCTAACTTAATTTAAGGTAGAGAAGAAAAAAAGGCAGAAGAGAGACAGTTTGAGAGATAAGAGTCATGGAGGGGACTGATGTCGGTCATGAAGAAAATGATGGCGAACAGGCTTAGGCCCAGCCTCGTACTCACCACTCTGCAGTGTCTGTCTGCCTCCAGAAAGAACCCCGCTTGGCAGCATGCCAGTGGGCGTCAGGCCCTTAAGTGTCAACACATTTTCACTCTCCTCTCTGCAGGACAGACAGAGGCCAGCAAACAGATCAGAAAATGCAGCTAAACGATTTTACTGGATGTCCCCACTCTCATAACAGTAGATATACATACAGAGTGCACTCTAGATTTGGAAAAAAATTTTTTTTTGGAAATCATACCTCTACACACGTGTAAATAATGTACCTGAGAACAGAGAACATTTTGGCCATCTTCCCGATAGCGCGGATCTTGTTTTTGATCACTTCCTTGCGTTGTGCAGCTGCGTTGGCTGCAAAGGAACATGTATACGGTCATTAAAGGCTTTCTGAATAAGAGATGGTGTCATAAAGCTTCACAGTGCATGAAAAACTAGTTTGAAGCCTTTAGACACAAAGAATGTTCTGTTAATTATCTGTCACCTGATAATAATGTGTGATATTATAATAGGTTCTAGGTCACTGTCATACTTTACAGCAAGCTTTCTCAAGTTTTCAAAACATTTTTTAGCAAGCGTTCATATAAATATGCTCAAACCATTTGAGTTCATGTGATGTTTTTTTTTTTTTGCTGGCTAATAGCTTTTTAGCTGTGAATTTAAACAGCATAATGAGCTGTAAAGGAATGAAATGTCCAGTAAATTCATTCCTTGCTAGAGTCGTGGGCTGCATAAAATCATAAAATGTCACTAAAGGCCAGCATTGACCGCCACTGTCCACATTTCACTGGGAGATTTACAAAAGGGCGACAAATCAAAGAAAGGCCTCAATCCTCGACCCCTACAACGAGAGGTTTTATTATGCTGTGAAGGTGCATTTTGCTGGCATGGTTTGGGTCCACTTGTCGCCTTCTAGAGAAGGGTTGCTGTAAATCAATACGCAGCTGCTCAGAGTCATCACCTTCATCGTATTGACAAGTTTAAAAATAGTGTAAAACTGCAATGGCCTTAACAGTCTCCACATCTTCAACCCTTTTCTGGAGATTTAAGATTGACGTGTTAGGGCATTTTCACACCTGGAATTCGTTTACTGTGGTTTTACTGTGGTCTAAATCAGTTGAAGAGTTTGTAAACTTGTAGCCTTTAACCTGCACTTTGGTTTCTTTTAACACAGAGAAAACTAAAAGCGACCTGCATTACCTCAATACAAACCACGTGAGGACATTCAGTCCACTTATTGGCCAGATGTGTCTAGGGTGGGACTATGAAAAGTAAAAGCAGGAAAAAGCCGCTGTGTTCTGGACTTGTGGGTAACGCTGAGAATTTACTTTAATTTCAAGGCTTGTTAATACACTTTGTGTGCACTGCACCTCTATGACATTCTGCTGAAACACAGAACGCAAAGTTTACCTGGCTATAGGAAGTCTTTTGGCTCAGCATTCACCCGCTACAAGCAAGTATGTTTGAAATCAGACATACACTACCTCCTCCCCAGCGTCTCTGTGTGGTTGTTTTTGTCCACAAACCTGTGATTACTGTGTTCATCAATCAATGTTAACGTTACCATAATGAGATACAATAGGTTAGCCTTTCCTTCAATATTTCACACATCTGTAGTTTAGTGTATGAAAAGTTTAAATACTAAAAAATGAAAAATGGCATGTTTATTTACAAAACATCTTACCATCAAAAATCTCATCTTCATCATTCATGAGTTCATCATCAGAGCAAATGCTCAGCACGTTCACCAGCATTTCTGTGACTGGGATAAAAAATAGAGAGTGCAACAAAGGTAAAGTCACTGAGCAATGAGCCGTGGAGAAAACTGACACCCCCCCCCCAAATAAACCCGGACAGATACAAATACCTTTTTCTCCAACAAACGGCAGAGACCAGGTGAAGACATCCATGAAGTTGGGCAGCCAGTAGGGATGGGGTGAGCAGTTGAACTGTCGGATGTTCATCACATTATTTTCATATTTCAGTACAGCAGCTGTTGGGGCAGGTGAGACACAGAAGAGGAAAACTTTCCATAAAGTCTCATAACCTTTTATGGCATTAATATGTAGTTATAGATCTGATGAAGGCAACATAAAATTCCTTTTACATAGATCCATAGAGCAGATATGAAGTATTCATATAAAAGAGAATAGAGTTCATTAAATGGTCTAATGAATAATTTAATAAAATTCCATTCAAGTGTATTTATATGACATCAGATCACGTAAATGGTCGCCTCAAGGAGCTCAATGAGTGCAAGGTAGGGAGAAAACCCCAATAATCAGATGAACCTCTGTGAGCACGCAGTGATTTAATGGCATGCTGCAGTGGTATATAAATGTGAGAAGAGGTGAGTAGATATGCAATGCTTAGTGTATCATAGGAAGTCCTGCAGCAGTCTGAACCTATAGCAGCATTACTAAGGGAGGGTTCAGGGTCACCTGATCCACCCTAACTGTAAGCTTGATCTAAAAGGAAAGTTTTATTGGAAAATTAGAGAGTGCATCTGTCTCCCGAATCCAAACTGGGAGCTGGTTCCACTGAAGAAGGGACTAGAAGTTACAAACTCTGCCTCTCATTCTACTTTTAACTATCCTAGTACCACAAGTAAGCCAGAAGGCAAAGGGGGAAAGTGCTCTATTAGGATAGTGTAGTGATACGGGGTCTTTAAGGTATGAAAGGGCCTGATTATTTATAATCTTGTATGTGAGGATAAGGATTTCTAGATTAGAATAGCAAATTTATGTAGATTTCAGATTCAATAGTGCCACTGCTGCCCAGTGAAAGCATGATGTAGCGAGTAGAAAGCCAATATTTAACATATGGTATGTTAAAACTCTAGTGAGTGAGGTAATCATTTGTAAACTTTCCCGCTACATACAAGCGAGTTAGAGTTAAGACACTGCTTGGCACTCTGCCTCTGTCTGTTCAGCTGTGATACACTCTGCTACATGTGTTGCTCACAGCCCTGACAGCACTGTAAACACTGGTAGTAACTTTATTTCTCTGCATCTCCGTTGATGCATAGCAACTACGGCATATCACAGTTGTGATTAAAATCATTTAATGATAATAACTGTGACATAACTGTGTCACCACAACTCAAGCAGTCATAGAATAGTTTTAATCTTGAGTATTATTTGATTTAAATAAGCCTATTGGAGATAAATGTACATACTTTTTTTGTGTTAAAATCCTGCTCCAGAGTTATTAAGATTCAGTGTGAGATTCATTCTGACGTGTCCTCAGAGGAACCATAACATGTTTATACTCAGTGATGTTAAAGAGAGGGGAGAAAAATAAAAGAAAGTCAGCCACTAGATGGCCTAGCAGAGGCAGGGGACTGCTGACACTGTTATATCAGGAGGAATAAAGCCACATGGAGATAGTCAGCAATGCCGACAGTCCCTCCCACGTTCCCCATCTAACATAGCCTATGGCAACCAAGACACAGATCTGAGAACACAAACAAACGGGGCCTCCCTGATGCATTTTTATGCCTGCACACAGCTACATGCAGTTGCACTAACTCGTGCACTGCAGTTTGTATTGTTAAAAACATTTTAGTACGTAAGTCTGAGGAGCCTGTTGGCAATCTTTTTAATCAGATGTAGGGCCACGTTTTAAGGTTTATAAAATGCCAAAATGTGCTTCTGATGATCTACAAATCTGTTATTTTTCATCAGTTAGTTGCAACCTAGATTCAGCTAAAATGAAAGTGGTGCAGGTGTTCCACTGGAGGAATCTTTATCCTTTCCAGCAGCAGACTTTACTATTCTCTGTTGCAACATTTAACAAACGAACGTGTTCATTCTACATGACGTAATATAATTCGGACCCATATTTGTCATTCTAAATAAAAACAGCAGCAAGAAAGCAACACAATATCGCACACAGGAAAAAAACAACAACAAACCAACAGAACTGCACATGATGATGAAAAATGGGGCCAAAACAGATGAAGAGATATTCTGACCTTTGTTATTGTAAACATCCAGGTAGTTTGGCGCTGAGAAGATGGTAATGAGGGATGGGAATCCAGTCGTCTGACTTTTACGGTACATCCGGTAGCTTCAACGCCATTACGTGGAGGTGAAGACAGAAGAAAAGCAGAGCATTGCTCTTAAATAGGTAAACATTCATTTATTTTTGTTTGTGTGCATAGGTGTGTCTTTCCGTGCTTTTTGTAGCGATTACATACCCAGCATCTTGTGCTTCGTGCGCTCGAATTATGGATAATAAGTTATTGCTCTGTAGGAACTCACATACAGCTGGATAACTGAAAGATAGTCAATGAAAACTGTGTTAAGAGGTGACAACACGAGGCAAAAATAACAGAGTGGTGCAAGCAACAGAGAATGGGAGTGACTTGGTATAATTTTATTTAAGGTGTGACTTACTAATTTCATATCTGGTTTCACTCTCAGATTTCTAAGAATTTTGCACGGGTGATGCAAGTGTGTGAAAAAGCATCTGATATCTACCTGGTGTGATAAAATAAATATATAAAAGCCAGATAGCGGCAGTCAGACCTTCCTGCCTCTCAGCTCCGTCCTTACAGGAAATGTGCTGCTAAAGACTGTGGCTGCTTTGTTTGTCTATGTAGTGCTTCGCAAAAAAGGGCTGCTTCACCTTCGTATCTTTGTGTGCACTGTTCTGTATATCAAAGTTCAATTCCTTATAATCATCTCACTTTATTGAACTGGAAGCGTTTGAGGTATTTCTGTCGACTAGAATTGATATTTTCACTCTGCCATTACTCCAAACATCTCAGAAATTATAACAAATGTGGGGTCTCCCAGGCAGTGTCGGTGAGAGAAAAACTATAAATGGACTTAAAGCATCTGCTTCAAACATTTTGGTGCTGGATAAGGTGTCCTCAGAGGTCTTGAAAGCAGGCCGGAGCACAAAAAAGACCGACAGCATATTAGGCAGGAGTGCTCATAATGTTCAGCCTATTAGTGGATGTGTTTCAGCTACAGCTATAAAAACAACAACAACAAAAAAACGAGTATATGAGTATAATCTGAAATGGAACCTATTTGATCCAATCCTTGATTTTACTGTCACACAACCTCTCTAGTTCTGCTTAAGATACGTTCATTTCCAAAAAAACAAATTAAAATGTGGCTGTATGCCATAGTGGTATTCCTTATTTGTTTATGTATTTTGTTTTCTAGCCAGATGGACAAGAATATGTCCCATGAAGACTAACAATGCTAACACATGACTTCCAGTGTTACAGTTCAGGCCAGAGTTTCATAGCCATGAATCATGGAGCAGTGCATCAGGCCTCCCTAACACAGGAGGGAGAAATAATGACAAGTGGATCACCTTCAGCTACCAACCACAGTAGGGTACATTTAGCAGCTGTCACCTGAGATTTGTAACACCTGAAAGGTTGTCGTTCAAAAATCACATTATCTCTTCAAACTGAGTCTTGTAGATTTAAAAGAAAAAGAAAAAAGAAAAAAGGATTTTAGAGAACAGTTTAATTAGCCCTTTTAAATGCAGCAATTACTGCCCTCAATGCAACATCACCTCAATCTGTCACTTCTCTAAAAAGTTTTTTTTTAAGTCCTTTGTGATCTCTTTATTTCAGCTGCTGCTTTCAAGAAGTTACAAGAATGATATATTTTAGTCCCTCAGCTCCAGCTACACACCTCGCACACATCGCAAACTAGGCTGTTTCCAGTGTAATTGATTGCCATACACTCTCTCTTACCCTGATGTTCTTCCACTGACCTATCACAGACAACAGCTGTAGATACCGAAGGGCCTAACATTACAAAACAGCTCCAATATATGGACCCCAGATGTTGGTGATTTCAGCTTTTCATACACGAATGTTCACTAAATGCAGTTCTTTTTAACAACTACTAGGGGATGAGGGGTGTAGCTTAAAATGACATCCTGACCTATTGAGGTTTTGTAGACATGTGACCACTAACTTGTTGGCCATTTTGAACATGACAATCATGGCGACAATGTAGGCTCAATTGAATAAGGCATGTCTACAAACACAGCAGTTAAACTATGAGCTGAGCTGTATTAAAACTTGAATAAGTGTAACATTAAAAGGAAACAATTTGTCTTTAACCTCCTAGGACCTGGCGTCCACATATGTGGACATCACATTTTGGGTTATTTAGACCAAAATACTCAATTTTGCTCTACAAGGGCCTGATATCCACTTACGAGGACATTATACTGCCACTGATCTATCGAAATTTTAAACGAATGTCCTCATATGTGGCTCTTATTTTTCTTAGAAACAAAAATCAGGTTTAAAAAAATCTGGTAATTCTTTGTTTTTACATTCAGGTCCCAATCAGCCCAAATATCAAAGAGAAATTAAAAATGCATGCCATGGAAGAGTTCGGGTCTTAGGAGGTTAAAGTAAAAGCTGTGCTTTTTAAAACGTTCACAAGCTCTGAAGCACAAATTTTACTTTGAAGGTTATCCTTCTCCACTTCCAGATCGCCTTGCACTTTTTCAAGTTTTACTACTGCTCGGCTGATAGATAAAGTGTTTGCAGTCAAACATGCAGGCAACCATGGCAATCTACTGGGAGGTTTTTGGTTCACCGCCTTCTTTGCAACTGATTTCACCCAGTGAGAGCCAACAACCTCCGGGAACTACTGCAAACCAATTGGGGAATGTTTCCCTAACAACCAGTGGTTGTACTCCGTCTAATCTGGTGAACAAATCTCAAACAATGTGCACATAAAGTCATGGTGTGAAACCTCAATAGAAGTCTAAACAGATTTCGACCTTATGAAAAACTTTGCATGTGATTTTATGGTCTCAGTCACTCATTTTGGGGCCTGTTGAATAAAACACGAAGTCCATTATATAAAATCTCCTTACTCTAAATGTCAGAACGGGTGTGTTTATTGGCTAACAACTTGTGATCAACAAGTCATTAGCCAATGAACAGCAAGATCAAGCTCTCGCTCATCACATCCAGTTTCAGAACACAAAGACAGCGAAAACGCTCATCTCATGGACTTAAAATGGGACTTCATTTAATGTGACGTTGGCTACGTCTATGTTGTACTATGTAATATTTATACTGTTAGTTAATCTCTCCACTATGCTTTGATATATAACTAGTTAGCTAGTTTTGTCTAAAATAGAAATATCTTCACTTTACACTGACAATCGTCAGAAAAGTAGCTGCTTTGAAAAGCTTGATTGAAATTATTAAAAAAATGTAAACATAATCGCTTCAGCGCTTTCATCTTTCTCTGAATCTCTACAACATAACCCTCCCCAGCAACAATCCTCTCCTCCTGCACTTCCCTAAAGTCGCTGCCATCCTTGGACCCATCAAACTTTCAGAAGTGTTTAAAATATTTAAGCCCTCAAAGGTTGGTGCCGGAAGAAACAACAAGGAGACTGCTGTGCCCTAAGCACCTGGCGAAACTATGCCATCCACCATATGTAAGTAGGTCGCACGGGCAACCCTCCTTTAGTGGCCAATATACAAACCACAGGATTAGCTTGAATGTGTTGAAACCCTTTGCCTTAATTGCTGCACCGTTACCGATCTGCAAAACGCTGTTCTCAAAAAATGTTATATAACAGATTCTATTAAAAAACACATCCACAATGCATTTCTGCAGTTTTGCATCACACATACTGAAGATTAAGCCTGTTACAGCTGCAAACAGCATTTTTCTGTTTTGTTTTCTTTCCATGTCGTGTAACAAGATAAAAATAAAGAACTCATCATGCACTGATGTACTTTTTTTTCCTTTTCTTTTGTCCGCTCTATCTATTGATTACTGCAAAGGAAAAGAATACCCACACAATGCCTGCCTGCAGCTCACATTCTTTTTCTTGCCTTTGTGAAAACACACAATAATGTGTCGGTGAGCCTGTGAGTGAGAGAGCGCGAGGAATCTGACAAGTGAGTATGAGCGAAAGAGACCGAGAGAGCGATGGAAGTGGCGTGTTGTGAGTGTGAAACAGAGTTTTTTTCCCCTTTCACCTTAGAAAATCCATCTGCCAGGCTGGTGGTCATTAATCTCATTTCCCCCCACTATAAAAGCTATGAAATCATATAAACATATCCATAATCACTTAGCTGACTCACACTTTTCTGATTGTACCTTGGCGCATGAGAAATGTTTAGTTAGTGCTTTGATATCATAATAATAAGACTGACAAGAATAAAAGGCCAAGGTAAACAAACACACGATGTGATGTATTTGTCTATACTTTATGAGACAACAGATTTAATGCAGAACCTTAAATCATATGCAGCATTACTACATCACATTACTGAACAAGATAAGCCTGCACTTATGCATTTCATCCAAGGCTGAAAAATGAAGTCAATGTACAAGTGCCAAGAACTGCAATTCATCAAAGGTCACTTGAGGAACAAAAAAGGACCTGCCTGCAACAACAACAAAAACAACAGAAGAAAACAAAAAGAAGCAAATTTCCCTGTATGTGATAACTGTATCACAGAAAAGCCAAAGGCAGGCATGCTGTTCCAAACTATGGGAAAAAACAATTTCATTGCTAACTGCGTTCATGGAAGACACATTGGGGAAGTCTAATAATTATATGTGCAAAATTATTTGATCCCCCATGAAACTGAAAGATTTTGTCTAAATTTTTAAGTATTTTTTCAAACAGAGAAAAATATTTTTCTTGTTTTTTCTTACTAATTTTCTTTAGAAAGCATACATTATTTCTATTTGCAAAGAATAACAGAATGATTTCAGAAAAACAAAAATTACCAGGGTTAATCTTATTAGCCTCCCTGGAAAAAAGGACCTTTTTATTGAGTAACTGCACAAACCACTACTGTGTAATGATGTGCTTTAACTTTGTGATGCTCAAAAGCTTGTGAAATAAAACCGAGGGGTTATCTTCCAATTTATACAGAGTATAAAAACTTCAGCGAATGTTTGAGCCGTCACTTGAGAAAGCATCGTGCCACAAACAAAATAAATCAGTTTTTACTTGAGAAAAAGAATTGTTGATGCTCACAAAGCAGGAGATGGTATCAAAGATACCTTGTGAGAAACATCATCAAGAAATTCAGAGAGAGCAGGCCAAAGAGCTCTTTGGTCATATCAACACTGCTTATGTTTAGAGAAAGAAGGGAGAGGTCAAAAGAAGACCGACCCCACAGTGAAGCATGGTGGTGGGTGTATTATGCTGTGGGAATGCTTTACTGTGTCTAGCATACAAATTCTCATCAAAGTAGAAGTGATCTCCAAAAAAGAAGGATTTTGAAAGAAAACATAAATCAGTCGCTTTGTCTCCCAACATGACAATGCCCCAAAACAAATGTTGCTCTTTGTTCAGAAGACCAAAGTGGACGTTATTGACGGGGTGATTCAAGCCCTCATTTGAATCCCATTGAACGGGCATGAACTGAAGATCAAGGTCCATACCAGATGACCATCAACTCTGGAGGAGCTTGAAACAGGCATTGCTAAGGAAACATGTGTGGCAAATGATTTCAGCCTGTTATCCAGCAAAAAGGATACACAATTAACTGTCAGCATCAGGGGAGATAATAATTTTGAACCCTGGCAGTTTTTAAAAAAAATTTTTTTTGTGTATGCAGAGTAACATAATGTAAAAAATGTGGGCTGATAATTCTGTCCTCATCTGTACCCGACTGCATCTTCGATACACTGCGTTTCCTGCTCGATTTCTATTACAATTTTTGTCATTTGTCAATAATACAGAATGAGGTTCTCTGTGTAGCATGCATCCTGTAAGCTTAGCAAGAGTCATAATGATGGAGAGGTATGTTTGAGAGCGAAGGCAGGAACTAAGCCACGGGGAGATAGATGACTATTATAGCAGCAGCCTCCACACATCCACAGAATAATCCTCACTGAGCTCCCATCTCCTGGTGAACAGCTATCAGTGACCGTTTAACAGGAGTGAAAGGAGAAGTTAAAACACTTTATTGGCTTCTCTTTGTTCGTCTTCACTATTCTCAAGTACCTGCGTTGTGTTTTACTCTTTGTGTGTGTGTGTGTGTGTGTGGGGGGGTCTAAACTGCTATCCATTTTCCAAAGAATAATATATTGAAGTTCACCTCAGTTTTGTAATATAATCAACACCTTCAGACATCTGAAACTTGCTTTATAAGAGAATTCAACCACAGTAAACAAGTTTATCTTATTGCTGCAAAGAGATCTCATATGTTTAATTGGAGTTTGGTTTTATCCTGCAGGGAAACATTAATACAGAAATCTGAAAACCTCTGCTCCTGCAGCAAGGTGATCTCCGAAACAGAAAACAGTGTTCTTGAAGCTCAAACAAAAATAAAAATGAAAATGCTTTGGGAATGTTGTAAATACTATGCAAATTAGACTCTAACACACTAATATACACAAAACTGTCAGAATGGTTTTAGTTAGGCCTCAGAAGCAGATAACACTTCTTTAAAACTGTTACAACTGGACAAAAAAGGACACTTTCTTAGATATTAGTTTCGGTGCCTGAAAATACACAGGAATTAAATTAAAAATGGATTATAATGGGAACTACAATTATCCTACACACTCTGTCCAGAATGCCATTTACTCTTTGGTAGAAGAGCAAGTCTTCATGTCTTTCTGTGATTTGAGCAGATCTGCAGCTCCCACGCATGGCTCTGTGCTGTTCTGAACCTTCATTAAGAAAACTCTCACCATAACTGCCACCTAATCTCTTCTCCTCACCACCACCTACTTCCACGGCTCTCTTCCATCTCACAACAACATTAGGACAGCGCTCACTCTTCCTCTGCCTTCCTATCATCTTGATACGTTACCAGGGCATCGTTTCTGCCTCAGTTTTTATTTGACATATTTACCACTGCTTTATCACCCACGCTAACCTCAGGCCATGGGGACTCCTTCACTGATAGACACTGTAAGGGTCAGGGATACGCTTATCTGTCTGAATCCTTCTGTGTTCATGTTAGCTGTGTCCACATTTGATTTGTGCTCAGGTATAAAAAAAAAATGTTTGATATCTATTAATAGCTTATAATCCTAACATCTATTTTTGCTATTAAGAGCTCATTTGCATGGGTTCTGTGCAACAGTCAAATTTCACCCAACATTATCCTTGAAAGATTAAATGAGATCATCAACAGTGATAACTAAGGGTGTTAACTTTAAATGCATGTCATCCCTGTCCTCCCATCTTCTTCCATCTCTTAACTGTACTCCAAGTAGAAAGAGTGTGACATACACACAATTGATGAATAGCCACCTACTTCAAGATCAAAGCACATGCGCTTCTATCTTTCTTTTTTTTTTTAAAGCTTGCCCTATTTATATCAGCCTGGATTTATTGTAGACAGCTTCACAGTGTGAGCTGCAGTCTTTCCTTTAAAACTTACAATTAGAGACCGGGGGTCATGTTCAACATACCAAGGATATATTTTTTATTATCAAATTTTGCTAAACCTCAACTGCGATCACGACTCTGTAAGCGGTTAAGAGATTTCTCCAAATAGGGAGATGCTGGCTGCAGATAACCAATCTAGAGCAATATAGATATATCCTGTTCTTCTAAGAACAATCTGTGACCCCAGTTTCAAAAATCTTGGGATGCTGTATAAAAATAGTCTCATAGACCCACATGTTATTCACAATACAACACAGAAAACATCAAATGCTTAAGCAGAGGAAATGTAACATTTTAAGAAAAAAAAAGTGTCATTTTGAACTTGATGGCATCAGAATATCTCAAAAAAACAAAGTTGGGGCAGGGGCATTTTTAGTACTGTTTAGCACCCTCCTCTCTTTAACAGTAAGCAAACATATGAGAACTGAGCTGCTGCATTTTGAGGAAGAGTGTATTTCTCATTGTTGTCTGATAAAGCTTCAAATGTTTTCAGTTGGTGAAAGGTCTGGATTGCAGGCAGAGCAGTTCAGCACCTGGATTCTTCTAATATGAAGACACGGTGTTGTAATAGTTGCAGTATGTGGCTCAAATATCCAGTCTTTCTTGAAAAAGACAATGTCTAGATGACGGCAAATGTTGCTGTATATACCTTTCAGCATTAACACTGTTTTTCCAGTGCGACAGTGTTCCTCTCCTCTTTAGTCCAGATGAAAAAAATCAACATTTTTACTAATCTGACCAAAGGGCAGTTTTCCACTTTGTCTCATTCAATTTTAAATGAACATAGGCTCAGTGAAGACTGCGCTTCTGGATCAAGTTCACATATGGATCCTTCTTTGCATGATGGAGCTTTAACCTGCATTTGTGGATAGCACCGTGAACTCGTGCTGAGCTCATGCATGACGGTCATTCCTGTTTTTAACACAGTGCCACCTGAGGGCCCAAACATCACAGTATTCACAATTTCACATTGACAAATGTTGACATAAAGTTGTTCCACAATTTGTAGACACAATTTTGTATAGATTGGTCCTCTTTCCATCTTTATATCTGAGAATCTTTGCCTCACTAAGATGCTCTAAATATTCCTTCACCTCTTTCTTTTTAGTAAAACTGTCCCAGCTTTCGAGATGAGAGTCACAATTTTGGAATTGCGGTTGTACAAGCTGAAACTAAGCTTTAAGGAATGTAAAATGTGTAAAAGAGATTAAGTGATACATTTGGTGCAGCCACAGTCAGCAAAGACAAAAATACAGATGCTGTGCTAAGAGACTTATTATTATAACTGTCCCCACATTAAGACACAAGTAGATGTGACTATAATTACAACTACATATTCTCCTACATATTTATATGACTTAAATATTTTTTTATGGCATTTCTGACCATTTTACTACAACTTTTTCAGCTTCAACCTTAACTGTATTAAAAGGTCTTTGGTGCAAGTAATGAACATGTATTAAATTGTATTAAACATTATTCAAACCAGCAGGCTGCTGGCAAATCTTGCATGAGGTCATTAAGTAGGCCATAAAGCTGAAGCGCTCTCTGTTTTAAGATTATGTTGCTTCACTGAGACCTAGAATAAAATAAAATATTGCAGCAAGCGAGGAATAAAGTTCCCTCCACTATGAAACATGATCTGAAGTTGCTGCAGGTAGCAAAAGAAAAAGCTCACCTGTAGAAGTAAGAGCAGCCCCGCACTGTGTTGTGGCTGAAATATTCCTGGGTTTTCTCATTGCCAAAGTCTTCGAGAGGGTCGGACCACAGCAGGTCACACATGGGCCCAAAAGCCGGTGGCTCCTTGAACCGATCCAACTTTACACACGGATTCAGAAATTGATGTCAGGCACACACAAAGAAAGCAGAGTGGGATATGGTAGTGGTGAGGCGTGACTGGACTGCTACCTTTTTAATGTCATCTAAGGTGTGTATTTCAGGTGAGAGTCCACCGTGAACACACAGAAACTGTTGGTTCATGAGCGCAGCCAGGGGAAGGCAGTCAAACGCGTCCATACACGAGTCATACACCTGCTCTGAGTACTTGATTTTACCTGGCACAACACAAAAAGTAATGGTTTGGTTCAATGAGTCACCTTTTGAACACTGAAATGTTAGCAAGTGGTAATTATTTGGGTTTAACTTTGGCTGGTAGGCATACTTTTAGTTCTTTCAGTTTGAATTTGTTTAACTTGTTGCATTTGTAGCTCTTCATTTTCGGCTTCTCACAGGCAATTCCAATTCAATTTTATTTATATAGCACCTAACCACAACAACAGTCACCTCAAGGTGCTTTATATTGTAAGGTAAAAGCCTTACAGCAATACTGAGAAACCAACAATGAGCGAGCACTCGGCAATAGTGGAAAGAAAAACTCCCTTTCAACAGGAAGAAACCGTCTGCCATGACCAGTTTGGGGTGAGGTGAATTCCATTCCCTTATATACCTTGATATAGCATTAACATTAGCTCCAGGCTACGCAGGACCGTAGTAAGACAGAGAAAGAAGAACTGAGAGGTACTCACATTCTTGTTTGAAGGTGAAATATTCTGTCAAATGTCTACATTCATGATTTCCACGAAGTAAAAATAGTGTCTTTGGATAGAGGATTTTCAGCGACCAAAGGTATAAAACACACTGTTGAAACAAGCACAAGAAAAATGTTACTTGTGATGTTTTTTTTCCTATTTGGATTCCTGTGTGGCGTTCTTAATAATATTCTTTTGGATTTACCTCAATACTGAAGTAGCCACGGTCAACATAGTCACCAAGGAACAGGTACCGTGTTGTAGCTGGTGATCCTCCCACTTCAAACAGCTTCATAAGATCAAAGAATTGCCCATGGATGTCTCCACAGACTGAAAAACACCCCAAAAAGGCAGATGTTATGAAACCGAAAAGAAACCCCCCCCCACTGAAAATCCTTTTCTCTTCTTTGCCAACATGTGCACGCATCTTTTTCCCGTCTGCTAGGATAAAAAAATGCAGTACATTATCATTTCGGTCATACCTACCGTAGCCTGTAAAACCATTTGCAGCCATTGCAGTGCTTTCACGAAACAAAACATTCAAGATTCGACCGATACTTCTGACTTCATCACTGTTGTCTTTTTTCACACGACAGTGATAAGTTGTGAGTTTCTATATGTATCGCCTGGATTTCCAGGCTTGATATTTATTGTTTTTGAAGGTTTGAAGAACAGGAGATGAGAGACAGACAGTAGAGACCACTGTGACAGGAGCTCATGGCGTTACAGAATAGTACACTTTGTACCAGAGGTGTGTGTCTTCATTTTCTGCATGCAGGTTAGCTGCATAAATAGACAGCCAGGCTGTGCAGATGCATGGAGATGCTGCTGTTTGTATCGTGACTCTACTGATTATTTGCATCTGATAAAAATGTCTCGCGTTTGTTTTGTTGTGTAATACCTTTTGCAACAGTTAAGAATGTAGCTGTAGAACGGGCTCTCGTTAATAATGCAATATTGCGTACAGGGAAATATGGATGTAATGTAACTATAAACAAAGGCATAAATAAAAATAACTACTTATGCCATAAGCATAAAGATCTGAGCGTATTCTGTGTGAGGTGAAAAATATGGTTTCACGGAATGGGCTCTCTGGATTACTCCATCTACTATGTGCACTTTTCTTCTCTCCTTCCATGGAGAACTCGGAGCACTTAATTATTCACATTGTCACTGGAAGTGTTCTTCATTCTTTTAACTCTTTAGTGCTCACATATAGAGAAAGCACGGCCTGTCAGCAGAGCGGCATGTTATGAGAATAATATTCTTGCGTGTGCATCTGGATCTGATGGATGCCATGTTAGAAATTCTCCCCTCTTTAGGTGTCGCTGTATTGAGATATTTCTAAGGTCTCTACTCTAGCTGAAAGGCTTCTGTCCTCTGCTTCTGAGAAATGAGACGCTCACGCCTCCCAGAGTTAGAAAAATCTCGAGCCCCCGGGGAGATATATACTTTTTCGTAGTGAACACTGTGGCACTGGAGTGCAAACCCACATCTCATTTCCTCGCTGCCTTCAATTTTTCATTATCATCTTTCTCTGTCTCCTTCTCTCCTACTCACCCTCCATCTCCTCTCGCTTTTCCGTCTCCCCTATCAGCTCCACAGTGGCCTTCGCCCACTCAAAGCTTAGAGCAATGTGAGTGGGAGACTTCTTGTGTGACTAAAGCAATCAAAAGCACACATGCGCACATACATGCAAGCTCATGCGCAAACACCCGTAAAACATGCGTGCAAGTAAGGATTCACATGCATAATCGGCTGCAGAGACATTCAAACACTGCTCGCGCTCACACAGATATAAACAAATGTGCAGACATAATACTTAGTTTGTCATACATATTTCATACTTAGTACATAAAGCCTCCATTTTGCTGATGCAGGTTGAGCTGAGGCCTTCTCCTGAAGTGCATTTGTCATCTTTGATGACATTAAGCTGATAGGAAGCTAGGTAAATGCATAATTACATGTGCATTCACATTTATGTTCAATATACACTCACCAACCACTTTATTAGGTACACCCTGCCCTCCTAGTACCAGGTTGGGCCCTGTTTTGCCTTCAGAACTGCCTCAATTATACCATAGCCATCGATTCAACAAGGTGCTGGAAACATTCCTCAGAGATTTTGGTCCATATCGACACGATAACATTACACAGTTGCTGCAGATTTGTCAGCTGCACATCCATAATGTCAATCTCCTGTTACACCACATCCCAAAGGTGCTATTAGATGAGTCTGACAGAAGGTAGGACGTATGCAAGCCCTACCATCTGAATATAGAAAACTGAGACTCATCAATCTAGCCAGTCTTTTCAGTCTTCTCTGTCCAATTTTGGTGTGCCAGTGTGAATGTTAGCCTCAGTTTCCTGTTCTTAGCTGACAGGAGTGGTTTTCTGATGCTGTAGCTCACCTGATTCTGCATATCTTGGTTGTCATGAGTCGTTTTTTGACTTCCTATTAGACCCCAATATTGCTGCTATTCTGGGCAAAATGAGCTATTTGTCAACATATCTGTCTCTGTATTTATAAAGGTTGGTAAATGAAAATTTAAAAAGAGAAACACCTTTTAACAATGCTATGAATGTTCATGCTATGCTTCCAGAGCTTTGAACGCCACAAACACAACAACCAGCTGATGTGAGCCGAATCAGCCAGAGCTTAAACGAGTACTCTGTGACTCGCTGTGGCAATCAAACAAGATTCTCTTAAAACTGCACCGTCACATTAGCTCAGTACAAACTAACAAATGACCACACATAACAAATGTTTGGGAAATGTGTTTGTGTCTTGTATGCCTGGGAAAAAAAAGAATGACCAATATATTCGATTTTTTAAAATAACCAAACATGTGAATCAGTGTAAAAAATCCTATAGGTTGGACTATGCTTCCTATCAACTCAAAGCAGTACGGCCATTCTCCTTCGACCTCCATCATCAACAATGCATTTTTACTTAGACAACTCTTTCACTTTTTTGGACCATTTTCTGTTAACCTTATAAATGGCTTTTTTGAAAACAGTATTTGTTTTTTTTTAACTAAGAAGTAAGAAAGCAACAGACAGAAAATAGGGAAAGTTAGAGAAATTACTTGCAACAAAGGTTGAAAGCTGAAGAGGTGGGTGTTGTAATTATACAGTATGTGTGGTAAGCAGTCGACCAGTGAGAGCCCCAAATAACCCCTTTATCATATTGGCGACAGAATCATGTTAAATTTAGCTGAAATACAACCGGCTACAACAGAGTCTGACATTTCACTAGTACAAGAAACAATATTGAGTTTTACTTTAAAATGTATTTATATTCACAACTTTAGTAAGATAAAATTGGCTAAATAGATGATGTAAAAGAAAAAAAAAAACCCAACTAAGTCTCTTAATTAAATTTTCTTGATGGGAAGCCACGGTTGAGTACACAGGATACTTTTGTGTCGGGCTGAGGCATGTTAATATTTTAGAGCATAACTAGGACACACTGCAGGGTTTTCAGCAGAAAAAAGATTTTATCTGTTTATACATGAGAGATACTTCAGGCTTTTAAACTCAGCATTTGTTTTAACTTTTATACTCTCTACTTACATCTAAAGTAAATATAGGTTTAAAGCTTTGACTTATATATTTTTATATATTTCAAACTAGTGTTTTCCAACCCGATTAACTGGCTGCATAGCAAAATGTAGACAAAGAAGGAAACATTATGGGATTAACATCATCCTAACAGACCAGAAATTTGCGCAGAGACAGTGCTTCTGAGATACCGCTGAACTACTTTACATGGACTTATTTAACAAGATAATGATGATTCTGCCTGGTAGTGACAGCTTCCTGTTGTATTCACACGAATTCTCCTTTATCTATTTTTAAAAATCACTTGTGCTCTCTGTTCTCTTTAAAAAATACTGATCATAAAGGAGCAGAAATTTGATCTAAGATCCCTCTCACAATTTATTAAAATGTCTTAACTTACCTGACAAATAAGGGTAATAGCATCAGCTGTCTTTTATGCTAACTAGCAAATGTTAGCATGTAGCACGGTAGACGTACTTGGTTAAGCTAGCTCAAGTTTACTGTCACAGAGCTGTTGATGACTTTATCATCAGTTTAGGAAATTAAAGTTAGGTGCTGCATTTTTTTTTTGTCAGCTCTCACTGTGTCTCACTGACAGTTACTTGTAGACAACTTTTAATTCAAAAAGCTTAAAGTTTTTTTTTACATGACAATGTGGTACTACTGTACAGAGTCAAGACAGTTTTAACTTAAACAGGACTCATTTTTATATGCTTCGTTTGAACAGTTTCCCTGGCAAATATAGTCCAGATCAAAAATAGTCTGAGAAATTGAAAAAATAAAACAACAACAAGACGTTATATCCCTTGGTTTTTCTTTATTACTTCTGACTGCTTCCTTAAAATATTTTATGAATTAATTAAAAATGTAAAACTTTTTTCAATCACTAAATGATGGATGAACTGTGATGATGAAAGTTAAAAAGACAAATTCAATTCTATTTATCTAACACTTGCTTCCGGTTCTTCTCGAATATCAGCTGTCCAATAAAATCAAGACAGAGCAGACCCTCTAACTTCCTAATATAAAGGATTTTAAACTAGAAAATTTCATATGCAAGCTCAAATGCCAGCCCCATGTCATATTATATCTGAGCAAACATTTTAGCTTGGCATCAAACTAAAGTAAACTAAATTAGCAATGACTGTGCTCTAGTCAAGTGAGCTTGCTCCTGGCTATTGCGCAGGCTGCCTCATTGTCATGGTTTACTGCAACACTCAGCAGAAATGAGCCAACATTAAAACACCTGTTTCTTTTCCTGATCTACATCCAAACAGATCTACATCTTTAATCTGAACACTCAGTCGTTTCAAGTTCCAGGCTCGCCATGCTGCAGTTTGACTTTAAGTCTCAGGTAAGTGTCTGTGAAAGGTTTCATACCTGTGACCGGTGCCTCGATGTCTAATATAGTTTTCTCCTGACGCAGGATAGCTGCTCCCTCATTGATGATTCGGAGCGCCACGGCCTCCTCCACACGACCTTCCTTGGTGAGATGGGCCTTCAGGAGATCCACGCGAGGTTTCCCTTCACAGTCAAACACTTCCTTCATCGTAAGGCGGTGGCTCAAGGGGAAGGGGACAGCTGAGGACAGAGCACAGGAACGCAGCGACATTTAAGCACAGGGACATCATGGTCACTATGGCTACTCTTAAAGAAATGGACACAATTTCCGACGGTTTTGTTGCCACTGTGCTGCATTATTATAGTAAACAGCCCTCAGGAATGATACTGACAACATTTTATCAAGGAACTCATGCAGCAATCATATAAGAGAAAACCCCGACCATGTTTTGCCTGCAAGCAATACTGCACAGCTGCTTCATTCCATCTTTGTTGATGGTGTGTGCACTTTGGCATGAAGAGCATTCTTAAGAGCACAGTTTTCCTTAAAACAGAAAGAATCTCCCATGAAAATGCAAGGACTTCTCTATCTATCTATCTTAGCATACTGACAACTGTCCTTTATGTGGTTACTTGTATTTTCTGAGTGCCAGATAAAATATCTAAGCCATCTACTCATCCAACACTCTCCCTGGATCGCTAAAGCCTTTGGCCATTAAAATGCATCAGTCACCTACCAGCAGACAGCCTGTGGAACTGTGAAATCCAACCACCGATCATTACTTCAGTGGCAGCAAAGGTTATTTATTAGACCTGGTGCCGAGCTCTGTGTACTCTAAATGCAAGCTATCAGGACCTGTGTATTTACGTTAATCTACACCTCATCTAGCTTAACAAAAATCACATGAGGTCCAGTGGCAGAATTCATTTGAAAAGCTAGACACAAACAAAAAAGCCTGCCAGATTTGTGCAGAGAATAGCAAACAGAGCCACTCAGCACTGCCAAATAAAAAAAAGACAAAGGAAAAGTCGCAAATCTCAGGCTTATACTGAACATGACCAACATGCTCTTCAATAATGAATGCTTGACTAGAGGAATCTCAAAGTCGCCACTCGTGGTATAATGAGGCAAGCCCCAGCGAGTGTTTTTAATGGGACTCAAATTTTTCACAGTGTGCAGCATGTATCTGTGACGGCAATGTGTACTTTGACACTTTACCAGCAAGTACAAACTCAGCACAGTCAGCACGGAGAGGAAGCGAAGTGAGCCTGTGGGGTATGTGGACAGTGCTCGCAAAGTATCTTTAAACGCCCTACCTGTTTATCCACAGGCTTTCGAAATGTCTGCATCTCCTGAATGTACTGGAACTAAGTAGCACTTGTGTTATGGTGAAAAACTCAGCAACAATGTCTCCTTCCAAAAGATAATGTCCCAGTTACTTAAAAAAAAGAAAAATCCACAAACCTCAGCGTGAACAATTTCAAATACCAACTATTTACTTTTATACTGAGGTACACGATGCAGTCTACCTCTACCCATGATGAGGGGCTTGCGCTCATGGCAGTATTTAAAAATTAACAGCCTGATGTGCTACAAGTCAGTGCATGGGTCGACTGTGTAATAAGTTGCAACGATATTCTGAAGTCTTGGTCTGCAGTTTTCACAGACTGCGCTTGGGTGAATCGGAATGCCGCAAGCTATGGCTGTGTGCACATGAAGTCAACCCAAACACCAGAAACCAACCAAAACAGACTTGTAATGTGTTAGTATGAAAGTACTATCTACTCTTGTCCCATCCACTGCCCCTTCAGAGGACCAGTTGATGGTTGGAAGTGCTTTGAGAATCACCAGTTGACTTACATCCACTGCCTTATAAACAAGAAAAGGCAGACATTGCTACAGGCAGGCCAGATGAAAATATGTCATTTTGATTTAAAGCTGATAATTACCATAAGTCAGTGTAGCATATCTGACAGATGGAAAAGATTGAAAACATAACCTGTGTTGAAATACATTGGCGTAGGTGCTATTATGTACCTTACATAACCGTAAAAGGTAAATGTGGTGCAGGAGCCCAGATTACTCAGGAACCGTTCTTATTTCATTTAAAACTTCAAACTAGCAGAGCAATTTGACTGTAAAATGAGCTGAAACTAGCCTCATGTGGATACTTTAAAAGGAACATTCCGCTTTGTTTTTTTCTGTTTTCTTTCTTTTGTTTCTTTTTTGTGTTTTTTTTAGCCGATTATCAGAAAAACCCAACAGAGATTATTTCGAGATAATCCTCAACAGCACATTTTAAAGAAACGCACATATGTTGACACAGACATGTGAGCGGTCTCCTGGTATAGATGTATGGTGGAGAGATGAAAAGCTGACTTCTGCTCAGCACCCGAGCAGAGTTGAACTATGAAATACTGTACGTTGCCGGGCAACAGCAGCAGCAGCAGCAGCTAACTGTTGGAGTACAGCCAGTAGCTGTGCTCCGCAGAAAACTGGGATTTGCATTGGGGGTTCACGTAGATACAGTGATGCAAATGCTCACACATTGGTCAAACCTTAAGCTCACAGTTAAGAAGCCTCTGTGTGGAATTAAAAGACATTCAGCTAAAGACGGCTAAGAAGAGCTGCCTCTCTGCACTGTTCAATTAATAATAAATGTATGGTGGGTTTATGTGTTTGTTAACCATAGTTTGTCTTGTTAAGTGCAGGATGGTTTCACAAAAGTAAACAGTGCAATTAAAAGATCTATAAAATAAAATAAAACAATGACATAAGTATTCTGGTTTATTGCCCATATTCTCTGCTATAGCTTGCTTTGTATGATATTCAGTGTCTTACTGTATGTACCACCTGACTGATGTTTTTATTTAGATGCTATCAGAGCAGGTCTGTTCTGTCAAACCTAACTACTGCCGCATCATGGCCATTAATAAATTACTAATGCCAATACAAGTATTTGTATGGTGTTACCAAAGGCTGACATGAATGTGACAAAGTTTTGCATTGATATATTATACCTCGGGGTGAAATATAAGAGCGCACCTGCACTAAACAGCCTGTGGTGACGGTACTGTAGCAAACAAACTGCACAGTCCAGCAGTTACTGTTACTGTACCACTTTAAATATGCTCTGTCAGATTAAGACATGTAAGACTAAAAGAGAACCAGCGAGAAACTGGCTGTGGTTTAAGTTGAAGCTATGTACACAGCAGGGATAAAAATAGCTTCGAGTAGCTTGTAGTGTCAGTGCTCGGTAGTTCACTACAAGCAGCGCACACAAAAACAGCAGGAAACGTCAGTCTTCTGGCTCAAAATTTTCACTACCTCAATAGCTTCCTTTGATCACCTGATGGATGCAAGATTCAGTTTCTTCTTTGTATTTTTTTTTCTTCCAATTTTCAGTCTTTTGGGGATTGTAAAAATGGCTTTTACTTCTTTTTCAAAGTGGTGTGCAAGAATAGGAGAGCAGATACAAGTGACAAAAGACACATTCAGTGTCGGCTAAGCAATAACAAACCTTTATAGCACCTTGACAATTCAGAGCATGGAAAAAAAGAGGATTTTGAAAAATTATAATTCTTTCTCTATGATCAGCCAAATTAATCTGCATTAGAAATCACAGGTGAGGCTATTTAACAAGTATCCAGGGCACACAGCCTGAAAATGAAAGAAAATACAAAATACTTATCAACTCCTAAATCCTAAAGTGTTACATGACCATGTTACAAAAGCAGAAAACTGAGTCAGAATTCTTGGCTGTGTTACGTTCGCTGATATAAACCTTCTGTTTGACATATTTTTGAATTCCTGGGTGTCAGTGAAGCTGCGCCAGGAAATAACCACAATGGTTTTGTCACTGCTTTAAATTCGTGTTCAAATGTGCAGAAAACAGCACGGCAAATCAAAACCAACTTCTCCCTTTTATGATGGACGGCACAGAAACAGAATTCTGTTTGAAACCGAATATCCTGTGAAAAAGATGAAAGTACAGTAAAAGTATAATGAAACGAAAGTGTCCGCAGCACGAGACCGAAGCTATTCAGATGGCCTGTTAGATAAATCTCCACTTAAAATAAAGCTAGAAAACAATATTGTTCAGGCAGCTCAGGAAGAGTGTCTTTTTCCTTTTTTAAATTTTCTTCACGTGACACAGTTCATGTTCTGTAATCAATGACAATTTAAGGCTCGTTTGTAACTGCTAGTGCACGCAGTACATTTGTGCGCCTGCAGTCATTGTCATGTAAGTGCATCTCACAGTGCAGATTACTGCTTCTAAAACTCCGGAGGCTAAAGGACAAAGTTGTTAATGCTGACTGAGCTGCTCGGCCGTTATGATAATATACAGAATGTGGATACACACACACACACACACACACACACACACACACATATACA